GTTGAGATTAAGCGAATAGGGGATAGAATTATTATGCTCAAATTGGTACTAGAAAATAAGTTCATCTATGTAATTAGTGCTTACGCTCCACAAATAAGATTGGATGTGGAAACTAAAGTCAAGTTCTGGGAAGACATGGATGACTTAGTGTGTCGTATAGGCAATGAGAATAGCATTTTCATTGGAGGAGATTTCAATGGGCATGTTGGTAAGGATAGGGAAAACTTCGAAAGGATCCACGGTGGTTTTGGTTTTGGAGCTCGAAACGAAGAAGGAAAATCTATTTTAAAATTTGCGTTGGGACATGATTTTATCATAACAAACACATTTTTCAAGAAAAGAGATTCCCACTTGATCACTTTTAAGAATGTGAGGAACTTGAGCCAGATAGATTATTTTCTTACAAGGTATAGAGAGCATTCTCTATGGAAGAATTGTAAAGTAATTCCAGGAGAAGTACTAGCCACCCAACATAGGTTAGTGATCTTAGATGTGAGCTTTAAGCTTTGCTATAGAAGGACTAAGATAAACCACCTTCCATGAACACGTTGGTGGCATTTAAAGGGAATAAAGCAATTGGCCTTTAAAGAGAAGTTGTTAGATGAGGCTACTTGGTCATATATAGGTGATGCAAATACTATGTGGGATGTCATGGCCAGCTGCATTAGAAAAGTGACAAATGAGGTACTAGGGGAATCTAGAGGTAAAGGTCCTCCCAGGAAAGAAACCTAGTGGTGGAGTTAGGAATTTCAAAAGGCTATTAGGACCAAGAAGGATTTATATAGAGATTTATCAAAACGTAAGGATGTTGAAACTTTTAATAAGTACAAAGAAGCGAAGAAAGAAGCTAAGCGAGCAGTTGGTAAGGCTCGTTCTACTTATTTAGATGAGGTATATAGTAAACTTGGGACTAGAGAAGGAGAGAAAGATATATATAAACTAGCTATGATAAGAGAAAGGAAGTGTCGGGACCTAAATCAAGTGAGGTGCGTTAAGGATGATACGGATCAAATTCTGACAAATGATAAAGACATTAGGAAAAGGTGGAGGAGTTACTTTGAGAAGCTTTATAATGATGCTCATGCAATAGAGTTTGACAATCTTAGGTCACAAGGAGAACCTAATGTGATGTATACAAGAGGAATCAGAGTCTCAGAAGTTAAAACTGCACTACGAAAGATGAAAAGAGGGAAGGCATGTGAGCCAGATGATATTCTAATAGAGGTTTAGATGGCGTTTAAAGATGCTGGAATTGTGTGGCTCACTAAGCTTTTTAATGAGATACTAAAGAAGAAGCATATGCCTGATGCATGGAGGAAAAGTATTCTTATCCCCATCTTCAAGAATAAAGAAGATATGTTGAATTGTAACAATTATAGGGGCATAAAGTTAATAAGCTACACTATGAAACTTTAGGAGAGAGTTATCATAAGGATATTAAGGGCCACAACTACCATCTTAGGTAACCAATTTGGCTTCATTCCAGGCAAATCAACCACAGAAGTCATTTTCTCCTTAGGATGCTGCTGGAAAGGTACAGAGAAGCAAAGATGGACCTACATATGGTCTTTATAAATTTAGAAAAGGCATATGATAGGGTGCCGAGGGAAGTTTTATGGTGGGTGCTAGAAAAGAGAGGAGTGCATGTGAGGTATATCAAGGTAATTAAGGACATGTACGATGGGGTGGTCACGAGTGTGAGAACTGCTAGAGGCTACACGGCAGAGTTTCCCATTCGGATCGGCCTTCATCAAGGATTTGCTCTTAGTCCTTATATTTTCACCATCATGATGGATAAGTTGACAAGAGAAATCTAAGATAGAGTTCCTTGGTGTATGCTTTTTTAGGACAATATAGTTTTAGTTCATGAACATGAGGAGTTAACCATAAGTTAGAACTGTGGAGACAGACTCTCGAGACGAAGGGATTTAAGTTAAGTAAGACGAAAATTGAATGCATGCGTTGTACGTTTAGTAACTCAAGTAATCAGAGTGATAGAATTTCTTTAGATGGTGTGAAGATTGGAGCTTCTAGAATGTTTAGGTACCTTGGGTCTATAGTGCAGTACAAAGGAGATATAGAAGAGAATATTCAACATAGGATTAAGGCAGGGTAGGTTAAGTGGAAGAATGCTACAGGGTGGGTTAAGTGGAAGAATGCTACAAGAGTTTTATGTGATGGCAAGATGCCTATTAAGTTAAAAAGAAAGTTCTATAAGACTGTAATCCACCCAGCTATGTTATATAGTAGTGAATGTTGGGCCATTAAAAGACAACATATATCTAAGATGAGTGTGGCAGAAATGCGTATGTTAAGATGGATGAGTGACCATATGATAATAGATCGCATAAGGAATGAAGTAATTCGTAATAAAGTAGGTGTAGCACTAATAGAAGATAAGGTGCGCGAAGGCCACTTGAGGTGGTACGGATATGTCCAACGTAGACCGCTAGAAGCACCAGTTCGTGCTTGGGAGGACATTCTTATACCTAATACTAGGAGAGGGAGGGGTAGACCAAGAATTACGTAGACCGAAATAGTTAGGAAAGACATTTTAGATCTAAGCATTCAGAAAAGTTTAATTTCGAACAGAGCTGCGTGAAAAAGTTTAATTTCACAACCTGCAACGGCAACAAACATCGGATCGCTGGTGATGTTGATGTGATGAACAATGACGAATCCCCCACAGTGGCGACAAAGAATTCCCTACCAACGGCAGCCGAACCCCTCCTAAAGACGTGCAAACCCACACTCTTTTGCCATTTGTTATGCATGTGGAGAGAGTGATGGAAACCCACATCAATTTGGTTTCTATTTCCCCAACGATGTTTTTTCTCTTTGGTTTTGGCTCCCTGCATCTTGATGGTTTTCCTCTTCTTTCTCCGTTAATGAGATTGGGAAGAACAAAATCAATAACAGATAGTTGCAGAAACTAAGGACCCGTTTAAATTAGCTTAAAAAATGTTGCTTTTGGCTTATATAGTCTAAAAGTCTTTTTTGAATATGTTTGGATGGAAAATTTGAAAATGTTTTTGGCTATAAAATGAAGTAATAATGACTCTATTAGTACTCGTTATCGAGAAATCGTGACAAGCGAATCTAAATAGAATTTTCTTTCGTTGTTTCGATAAAATGATAGGTTGTTTTGGCTATGCCTCCATATGTATATTTGTCCGAAAAGTCTCCCGAAGAGTGAAAAGAGTAAAATTTCAAGTGAAGTTGAAGGAAAGATTTATGATGTTTCACAAAGGTATCCTTTTGTATTACCATGTTTTTCCCCTTGGACTCTGAAGATGCTGCTTCTCATAGCTATTCTCATCTTTAATAGCTTTCTCTGTTCTTTTCTTTTGTTATAGGCACTTTCGCTTCTTCTTCGCTGCTCTTTATGAACAGCTTTGGAAGAACTGATGCATTTCCGAGGCTTGAGAGAAAACTCGAGTTCCCCTGGAAACAGTTGCCACTGCTGGTAGTCGTTGATGTTTCCTATTCAGTTGCTGGTAATCCATTAGGTTATGTTGGATCCTTTGTCATTGTATTCAAATGGTTTAACTACAAGTCTCTGCCTTCTGGGATGGAGTAGATATGCGGCCAATTTAGCTATATTTCATAGGAAGAAAGAGGAAAATAGGTCAAGAGTTTAGATGAATTAAAATTAATAGGTTAATAGTTTACATAAGTTAATAAATAGGTTAAATTATTGTTTTCGTCCATAACTTGTCGGTTATAAACCATAACTTGGCAAGTTATTCACGGTTTTTATCCATAACTTGTCTGGCTATGACCATAACTTAACAAGTTTGTCCATAACTTCTCTGATTATGAACCATAACTTGATAAGTTATGACATATTAATTTCTATAACTAGAAATTGACCTATATATTTTTTTAAGCTTTTCATATTCGCCTATTTTTTACTATTTTCCTTTTTCATAAACTAAATTTCTAGTGATTAAATACTAAGAAAGGCCTCTTTACACCTGCAAAGTTTAAATAAATATTATAAGAATAGCAAATTTTGATATCATTAAAATAATGACTTATATCATTATATAGTACAAAATATGACATTATTGTGATAATTATAATATCGTTTTTGCTATTTTTATAATATTTTAAAAATTTTGTTACATTTCATGATTATCTATCAGTATTATATAAAGGAGAGTTCTTCTCCTTTCACTATTCAAAAATTTGATCAAATTATTCCGTCTTTTTGTGCTTTTTTTCTTTTTTGCTTTTACATTCTCACTCTGGTCTCCATATCCAACTTTATTCAAAACTCATTATTATTTATACCCTTGTACTTAATTTGCCAAGAATTTATTTTTCTAAATAGATTAAAACTATTTAAAAAACGTATTAAAGCAAAAAACTAAAAACTAAGCAAAATATAAAATTTTTTAAAAACTAAATAAAAAGAATTCTTTAAAAAGTTTAGTTTCTAATTAATTAGTGAAAATTCTTTAAAAAGTTTAGTTTCTAATTAATTAGTGAGAAGGGTAAAAATGGCATTTTCCATCCCAAAAAAGGTCCTCAGGGTATTAAAAAACAATTTCTAAAAACGTCAAGGTACCAAATCAAAATTATCAAACACACAGTATACTAAAAAATAATTATGTTAAAACATAGGTACTAAATATGGTGCATATCATTCACAAATACATTGCTAATTTCGACGTGTTCTTCTCAAGAATGGATAGTAAGCATGATATGAGCAAATTTTAGTCCCCAACTTGGAGCTAAATTTGACAGTGTACACATCCCAATTTTAGAAAGAAGAGGATATTGTTGGTGACTAAAGCTGGTTTTTGTGACATCATTTCTGTTCTACAAATGCAAGAGTCCTTCCATGTATAAGCAATTTTCGGATAAAGGTTTTAGTAAATATCAGTTGTGTCAATGTCAAAGATTTGACACAGAAATATATACTTGTGTGAGTATGTAGAAGCTTAAAGTAAGTACGATTCTATAACGATGATGGATTGTTTTCTGTAATTCAGTAGTTCATAATAGGCAGAAATGTGATAGGGGTCTTGCCACGATATGCAGCCAAATTCCTTGTTGTATCATGTCAACATCCAATATGTGCATGTAATAATTTTAAAATGGGATTGGTTTTGGACTGTCGAAACCCGATTTATGCTTTTCCGCATTCATGGTTTTACCACAAAAATGTTTCTCCCCTGTAGAAATCGTGTCAAGTGGATCCAAGCAGAACTTTGCTTGTTTCGGTCTATGGAATTGTTGATTTCACAAGTCCATTTCTTCCTATTGTATTGTTTGCAGTAAACTAATACTAAAAAGTGCTTCGAAGTGCTATAATTGGTCAACATCCTCGCTTGTGGTGGAGTGCTGCAAATATTATGACATTTGACCAAGTTAACCACCCAAAGAAGAAGAGAGTAATATTGCAAGAGAAACCAAAGTACAAACTTTTATGTCGTTTCAGGTTTTATAGAGAGCCCGACAGATTTCACCTTCAAAAGGCCGGTTGCTGTTCGCGGTGATCCTTCCATATTTTTCCACAGTGAATGATTGAATTTGAATCATTTGTCATGGTATTCAAAGTCTTGTGTCTTGTTGCCTATTGGATGATGAATATGCTATTTCAGTTTATATTTCATGAACCAAAATCCAAGTACTTAAACCAAGTTTACCCAAGCGGTAGTCTCCACCACTGGTATTCCTAATCTCAAAAACAGGACCTTTGTCATTGGCATCATTAAGTCAACCGTAGGTCTTTCTGAACTGTTTTTATGGGTCCGTTTATTTCACGTGTTCAAGTCAGTGATTCTAATTCATTAACAGGAACTTTGTAAATTAAGAAATTTTTTAATTTAAATTATTTGTAAGATGAAAAACACTATAGCATAATTAGAATCCCAAACGGAGCCTATATGTTTCCAAATGCTTTTATTTGGCCACAGCACATGTAGAATAGATTCCCAAATGGACATACATAGCTTGGAGCCACCTCACAGGGCAATAGCCCCAGCTCTCAGAAGGTGGTGGGCCCCACCTGCGCTGGACTAGAGAACATTTTTTCATAAACTCACGCTTTGAATACAAAAATTTTTAAGAATCTCACTTTGATATTTTCTTTCAGAAGAGGCACTAACCTTCAAGCTTTCTTTGAATGTCTCTAATATGCTGCAAATGAAGGCCAATTATTGGTAATACCACTATGACCACATATCATTACCTTTATCTTTATGCTTACCAGCCTCTACCATCTAAACTCATTTATGTTTTTACTACGCACGTTCTGGTAACAATAATAATCACTGTTATGACTAAGCAAGTTACTATATTATGTCAACCTATTATAAAGCTCGTTTGTATGCACAAAGCAATATGCAACTTCAGTTTCCCAACATCCGTTAAAGATTAAGAAATAAATAAATAAACAATGCACTTTGGTTGTCAAATCCAATGCCTTTATTAAGAAGCATTACCTGTACAAATAAATAATTGAACTCAGTTTCTAACTACTGATTTGGTATAACATAGAACGCTTATATTATTCCCACAAACTTTTTAACTTGGACTAGAAAAGGGGTGGGTGTTAGAAGAACAAAACTGTGACAAAATCCATCTCCGAGGCACCAAGATGATGTTATACTGATTGAACAAGGGAAGAGACAGAAATTGCTAATTAAGCATTCATATCGTTCTCAACTAGGCGTAGTCTGACCTTTATCCCGGTACGCAGCCTCTAAACATTCTTTAGCCCTGTGAACCTTTGATTGAAGGTAAAAACTACCATTCGTAGAATTCCTCTCAAATAAAGTGTCGTATTTCTACCAAGGTTGTAAAGAAATACAAAAGACAAGTTACAATTTGAAGCTAAACTTGGTCCATTCCATGAGTTAAACGAGTGCGAAAAACTAACCTTTAGAACATCCTCCCAAGCAGTTTCCTCTGTCACGCCAAGAATCTGTCTAGCTTCTTGCTCTGTCATGACCTTGCTTCCTTTGCGAATTGCATTTTGTAATGTTTCTTGAGCAACGCCGGTTTTGTTGGCATCTGCAACAAACACCAGTATAAATTTATAGAGCATGGAAGTACAGACACAGGACACCCAAATCAATCGTAGTCATGTCCGCAACGCAACAAAATAACTTTAATCTTGCATAAATCAGAAATATAAGGAGGCTAATAGAGTATAAAGCGAATTAACTGCGAAAATACAAAGTATTGACATCGCTAAAAGAACACATTAATCTTGCAC